TATACAGGGTTCCCCGGAAAGAATCATCCGATTTCAAAAATTTATATTTCAAAAAATTACACACAGAAAATTATAATTCGAACACGAATGTAACGGGAAAATGTGCGAGTTTTTGTTTACAAGTGTTCAATACGACTTCCTTTCGTTACACGCATGATATCATTGCGATATGAAAGTTCTTGCGAAACACGGTGTAACGTATCTCTGGTAATTGTTTGTGCAGTATCACAAATGCGTTTTTTCAGTTCATTTACACTTGTAGCAGGAAATAGGTTGATCTCAAAAGCAAAACGTGATCAAACCTTTATAGCAATTATATTAGCTAGAAGAAAACCAAAGAAGATATGAGCCAGTGGGCGAAATATCTACATATTATGAGTAAATAGCTAAAAAATCTTGCTTATTGTTATTTTGTAACAGATTGCAGATGTACTTATTAAAATAATAATAAAAAAAAAATTTACACTTGTAGGTAAAGGTGGTACAAAGACAAGATCCTTTACAAATCCCCAAAAGAAGAAGTCGCATGGGGTTAGGTCGGGGTGATCTCGGAGGCCAACTGTGTAGAACCATATTATCGGACGAACTGCGACCAATCCAACGGTTTGGTACATGAGACAAAAAATAATAAAAAGTAAAACTCGCGCATCTTCCCGTTATATTCGTGTTTGAATTATAATTTTCTGTGTGTGTAATTTTTTAAGATATAAATTTTTGAAATCGGATGATTCTTTCCGAGGAACCCTGTATTTTTTTCATTCGCAATTGATTATCGAAATTATATGCGGATACTTTCCAGTGAAAATGCAGTTTCTATCGTCGGCATTCCGCTTTTAAAATCGAAACACCCGCGGTAACGAGGAACGGGGAGGCTGAAACGAGACGCTTCCGGAAGTGTTTTTTTTAATTGACCAAACTATAATATTATGCAGAATAACAATGCGGTATTATACAACATCAAATATGCACCGTCTGCCAGTGATTCGGTAAAGTAAATTCTCCGGGGCTTTGCTCCGTATGAATTATGCATGGTGCGCGGTTTTTCGAGAAACTAAGCAGCAGATAGCGATTCGAAATGTTTATTCTTTCAACGCTGCGAACCCCCAATTACCGTCTGTTGTTACGCTACTAACATAACGATAATTAGAATTAAAATGCGAGCTCCGAGAATAATAGATACCGCGGTTTTGTGTTACACTTCGAAGCGGCCGTCTAGCTTTCTTTTTTGCGGATACGGTTTCTTCAGTTTTTCGAAAAAGCATACGAATGATCTTATCTAATTCGAGGCACCGCCAAGCGACACGAAATTTGGGGCGGCGGCGTAGGTGTAAATTAATAGCCAATCGTATACGTTACAAAAGCTATCTAGTTCCAGAAGCGTCTCCTTTACCTCACGGCACTTCTTGGATGTCGCGTAATTGTATATGCCAGGCGCCGAAGTGCAACGTGACGTTAAAAAGAAGAAAAAAAGAGAAAAAAATAAGAAACTGCTGTCCAACTTCCTCTCTCGAGGCGGTGTCACCGAAGTGGCAAGTCGCGCGCTAACTAGGGCACAGCGTATATAAAATGATTTCGCTTCTCGCACAACCGAATCTCCCAGTTTATCAGAAAACTTCGATCTCTTTGATGTTCCAAACGAAAATACGTTTCAACGTTGCCTCGACCGTAACGCCGCAATAAAAAATGCTACCTCGAAACGATCTTCGGGCCGTGAACGGCCCGAAAGAAAAACAGGACGCACAATATGTCTGGCGGAGTTTTCTACGCGGTATCGGTCGTAAAAAAAAAAAAATTGAAAAGGCTCGATAGCGTTAGCCGATCGACGGCCGATGAATTGAAATGGGACGGGACAGCTTTGTGTTTGTCCGGCGAAGGGTGCGAGGCGTTTTACACGAACATTTTTGAGACACTTCGTCGTTTTATCGTGCGCTCGCGCGAGTGTCGTGGGCGTTCTTTTGTGCAGGACCGTTGCGTAAAGGCTCCTTTTCAACGTTTCATTTCGTAGGAACGCTTTTACACCGCCGTCTCTAGGTAACGGTAAACCACCCGGCGTAATGCAGACACATTAAAGAATACATTACACCTCCGCGGCGCGAGCGTGTAATGCCTGCGAAGTAAACGCCGCACAAATGGACGCGCCGTTCCTTTTCGGTACACTTTCGTTTAACTCATTAAGTCCGCGGCGACGTGAATAATTTTCGGGCCGAGTCGTAGACGAGACGCATTAACGATAATTGTGCTTTTACGCGTGGAATTCGGCCGCCGATTACGGAAGAGAACCGGGGCCGCGCGTTTTTATCTGTAATTTATGAATTTAATCGCGACGCCGTGTCCCATCGATTCCCCAGATCGCTAACGTGGTTCGACGATATTTTACCCGGCGCCTTTTACCTTTGTACTCTTTTTCCTCCTCTTTCTCCATCCCGGCCGGACTTTTTCCATCGACGCGACGAGTATAATTTGCACGGAGTTGTCCCGTAACTAGCGATGCGTGTAATCCGTTAGATTGTAATTGGAGTGCGGACGTTACGCATTCATAATATTTATGAATATTTATGAACGCGCGGACCGTGCGTGCGCGAGCTCTAGAATGTTATTAATATCTAATGAAAGTGTTAATACAAGCACCCGGCCGGCCTTTCGGTTGTAGTTTTTCGCAAATTAGGTTGCCCCCCGTCCTCGTCTCGTTGCAAGCCACCGGGCAGCTTGTAGCACATTATTCATGATATTCAATTTTCTCGAGACTTTGCACAGTCCGCTGTGTGCTCTAAACGTTTCAATTTTCTAGCTTTCTATGTATGCTTCGAGATAGGACGGTGATTTATTCGCGGTTCCGATTGTCCCATAGAAATGGGGTTGATTCCGACCGATTCCGCGTGTTTATTTCAGATCGCGCGAGGTAACAACCCCTTCAAAATAGCCCCGAAAATACTTTCCGCGCTCCATGACTTAAGTACCGGGCAGCACTCAGAAACTAACTATAAATACAGTCTTTACCGAGGCGGATGTTACTTTGATACCTTTGAGATGCTGACTTTTGTTTACGAGGGGTTGGTGACGCTCAACCATAGGCGACCGGGTTTAATTCCCTTTGACGAGAAATTCAGGCTAGACACGTTGCCACTGAGAGACATTCCGCGCTCGGAACAACCACTAAAACTGTAACCTCTATTTTTACTGTTTTCCCCCGGTCGCGAACTCTCTCGGTCTTCTATTTCTTTCGTTTTTTCTTTTTTTTTTTTTTTGTTCGCTTCGTACCGTTACAAGTAGCGCAAAAAAAGCGATCCTCGCTTCTGGTTTTCTTCCTTCATTTACATAGCAATAGAATTTCATTTTCTTCCTTTGTATCGTTGCGGACGCGTGGTATATGTGTATGTGTGTGTATGCGTGTGTGTGTTCCATATGCTGTACCCGCGCAAACATATTATTAATTTAACTCCGTGAATCGCTTTAATTTATTCTTGTTTGCCACGATGATCTATTGATCTATTTATATTTGCAAATTAAATAAATTGATATTATAATTATATATTATAAATATATATATATATATAAATTGATATTATAATAATTAATATTAATTAATATATTGATCTATTTATATTTGCAAATTAAATACCAGAGCTTCGACGATCGTAGACGTTTTCTTCCCAGTGAATTTTGAAAAAATTCGCTTTTCAAAAGACATCTGATATTTGCTAAAAACTGACAATAAGATTTCGATAACAAGCCCATAACGTGGATTTTTTGGATTTCACAGCGGGGCGCTTCTTTCAAATTTGTAACAAAATTTAAAAAAAAATCCCTTTTTTTATAAAAGAAATTAATTCATCTCCCGCACATGCATATTGTGTTAAATACAAATGTAAAAGAGCGGTGGATAGACTGTGGAACAAATTCAATTTACCAACCAGAAAATGCTCGACGGTAAAACCGCGGTAATGATGTCATTCACAGTTCATTAATATTAATCGGCATTTGAAAAACGTGCAGCTACATTATCCGTGGTCTAACCGTGACATTTTCAATGTTTAATAACGCACGTATGGAAAATGTGCCGCAACCGGCTTTCTGGCTTGCGTCCAGCGATGTACAAAGTGATTTCCATCTGACGACATAGAACAGCAAGGGGTTGAACGTTGAGCATCATTGAAACGCTGTGTACACATTAGGCATTCTTGCAGCCCGCAGCTGGTCGACTCGTGGCCAGGCGGTAAAAATCAGTCGAAAGTGCTATCCCCAAGCATTTTAAAACTAAGTAACGCGGTATGAAAGCTTTCCTACAGGCTTTTAAAGCAGGGGTGCCGCGCATTCCCTTCATTTACCTATGAAATACGAACCCGAAAATTCTCCTAACGTATTCCATGGGGTTCATTTTCCCAGGTTCATTTCCCCTCGCTTTTCGCGGAGCTGTACAATTCTCCCAAATTTTGTCCCTCGGCTTGGAAGAAAAGAAAGATGAAAAGAAAAATTGAAAGAAAAATTTACAACTTGGATGGAGGACATATTATTATTTGAATCTTGCTGTTCGTTTCTTATAGTTGTCGACAATTTCCTCTTCTTTCCAAGTCGTCGATTTTCGTCTCCAAGCTGAGGGACAATTTGGAAGAATTCACTATACCGAACTCTCCTATTCCCCTCGATACGAACGCTAAACTCTCGCGGCGTTCATTTATTTTCATAAAAGGCATTCACTTTCTTATTATGTTTACTGCATCCTCGGAGCAGACAGTTGTTATTCAGCCATAAAACGACCTTTCAATCACCGACACTGAAGTGTTATAAATTGGTTGGTTTACAGTCGTTGGTAATACAGAAGGCAGCGACTCGGAAGAACTTCTTGGCGGTGTCTCGGCACCTCGTAGCGGTTCGCCACCGGAATCCAAGCCAATTTTGTTAGAAACAGACGCTCCGCAGGTCGCGGTCGACGCTTCCACCAGTCCCACACCGGCAACCGGAAATGACGAGCAGCCGAGTGCCAGCACGACGAAGCAACTTAGTTTCGAGGTATTATTAAACCCTCTAAAATTCATAAACCCCGCGAAGCCTGCGAACGCGGCGTGCTACAAGTTCCAAAGAAAATGCGACGGATAAACGGACGTGTGCGACGAAGCGCGGCGCGTTATGTTAACAATGATCAAATTACCATTTCGGGGAAGGCGATTCGAGCCGATCGAAGCCGTAACAAAAGAGAGAATGACCATTTTTGAAGGCGACCAAATCAATGTTGATGAATAAATATTAGATCGAGTCGAGTAAATAGCTTCCGTTTTCTTATCGGATATTTATTTTGTTCTTTTTTTCATTTACTTTTTCCTGTTTTTGTTTTCTTCGTTTTATCTATTCCGAACCCTTATCTATCTAGTGAAAGCAAAAACTCGTTTGTCCCGGTGACTCATAGCGGGTGGATACGAACAACAGACTCTATCTAGCCGGGTCGGAAGCTTATTTCTGACTCGGCCCTAACACAGTATATGTGGTTCGTTTACAAATTCCGGGTAGCATTTTTCTGCATAATCCATTACACAACCGATTAGGAAGATGAAAAACGTAGATCGGGGCTCCTCTGGTTAGCCCAGGGCCGAACCGGAAACTTTCTTCGGGTGGCGACTCTCTTTGAGCTGTTGCATCTGCCGTCGTCGTGCGACGATCGACAAGAATCGCGTCGTCGTCGGAGCTCTCTCTTTCTCTCTCCGGGCCGCGTACATATTCGAAACTCGTTCCTTTATCCTCTTATTTATCCCGGTTTACCCTCTTTCAGGAATTCGAATGCGACGTGTCGGTGGCGGAGGGCGACAGAAGGAGGCAGGAATTCTCGTTCACTCTGTACGACTTCGACGGCCACGGGAAGATAACAAAGGACGACATAGCCGGCCTGGTGACCACCATTTACGATACCCTGGGCGCTTCCATCCAGGTACCGCCGTGCGGCAGCAAGACGATTAAGGTGAAATTGACGGTGTCGCCGGATCAGAGAGGTAGCCAGACGAGGACCGGCTGTCCGAACGTATCTCAGCCGGCTGCCAGCTTTTCCGGAAATCCGTCCTGCTGCCATTTGAAGCACGCGTCCTGCAACAATGCCGCGACCCACACCACCGCGCACGGTTTGCGCAGAGTTCTTAGAAGGAGGAGAGCACCACGACACCGTTGTCAGGTAAGATTGATGCCCCTTTCAGCCGTAGTTTCGAGTTTCGTTTTATGGGGTCCCCCCCTCTCTCTCTCTCTCGCTCTCTCTTTCTCTCTCTCTCGCTCTCTCTCTCTTTCTCTCTCTCTCTCGCTCTCTTTCTCTCTCTCTCTATTTCTCTCTTGCTCTCGCTCTCTCCCTCTCTCGCTCTCTCTCTCTATATCTCTCTCGCTTTCTCTCTATATCTCTCTCGCTTTCTCTATATCTCTCTCTCGCTCTCTCTATATCTCTCTCGCTCTCTCTATATCTCTCTCTATATCTCTTTCGCTCTCTCTATTTCTCTCTCGCGTTCTCTCGCGCTCTCTCTCGCTCTCTCTCTCTTTCTCGTTCTCGCTCTCTCTCTCTCTATCTCTCTCGCTCTCTCTATTTCTCTCTCGCTCTCTCTCGCTCGCTCGCTCGCATGGAACGCGCTGGGCACTCTACTCCGCTCGTAACTCGACAATTCTAGAAGCTACAGTTGGATTTATCGACTTTCGGGACCGGAGATTTATCGCCGCAAGGAAGAAACTTTAATCGATTTTAATTAATATCGTCGCGCCGCGGGGACTCCTATTAGAGTCCTTTGCCGCTGGCTTGGTCCCTTTTGTGCTCGGAAAAATTAGCATTGAAAAATTAGCATCGCGGAATTGTCCCTTCCGCGACAGAGTTGCCGTCGCGGGATCTTAATACACTGAGAGATCGCTACGTTAAGGACGCTAATGATTTTATTGTAAAGCTTGCTCCATTATAATTTATTCAAGCGTGTTTCGCCAGTAAAAGAGCTACTAAAGTTTGTAGAATTGTCGAAACAAGAAACTGGTCATTTTGACCGCGGCGAGTTTAGCCGTAGAAGTATTTCTAAACATTTCCCGGGGTTATTTGAAAAGTATTGAAAACGATTATATACTTGTTTACTTGTTACTTGTGGGAAATTATCCGAAGGGTGGAGCACCCTTCAACGAAGGGATCTCGGTTTAAAATACGCATAGAGAGCTATACGTTATACATATGAATTGTTTTGTAAAAGCGTTTTAAACGATGCTTGCGTTAACTATGCTGAATGAATAAAAATGTTTGGTCTTCTCCCCCCTTGTTTAGACTGAACAAAAGGAAGTGGATTCTCACAGCGAAGATGACGGTGAAAACGCGCGAACGAATCGAATAAAGCAGGAGGAATTACGCAGAAGGGTGGGTCCCTTGCCTCATTTACCATCACCCTATTCGAATAGCTCCGAGGGCGATATCAGCGATGACAGTGACGTTTCCCCTGCAGTTTCCCCCTTGACGCCTCTCCTCACGACTAATCAGCGAAAACGCAGCGGTGCCCTACAAAGGCAACAGCTCTTGGAAATTATTCAGGCGAACATGGAAAAGAATAATCTCAGTTTTCATACGTCAAGGTACGCTGTTCGCGTTTAACCGACAAAGGAAACCAATTAACGCGGCTCTCCGGCCTCTCTTACACCGAAACCAGAATCTGTTCCGAATTGAAACTTTGTGTACTGTCGCGTAGACTAATCAATACGGGGAACTAAGTCGCTTGAAAATTCATTCGAAATGCAAAAATACGCTTGCCGCGTTTCTACGAAAACAAAAATGTAGACATGTTACAAAGAGTTAGGTAGGAGCGGACACATTTATGTTACCTATCACCGTTAAACAACGCATATTCTGTAGATCTAAAAAGTTTTCGTCCGTGACCCTCGAATGGAGTTCATTTGTATGGAGAATTAATGTGAACGTTTCTTTCGATGCAGGAAACGGCACCAGAACGAACAACCGCGCATTCCAACGCAAACTGCGCACGTCGAACCGTCAACCCACTACAATCAAGACTGTCGTTCACCATCGGAGTCCCGGCCGACGACGATGGCGTACCTGAAGACTGCACGGGAGAAGACACAGGGTTTCACGTCTTTCTCCAAGGTACCTGCGAAGACACGGGGAAACCTTCGGAAAACGCGGCCGCAGTACGGTATACCGCGGAACAACGGCGCAACGCAGCCGCCGCGGGCTTACGTGCAACCGCAGGTCATGTCCCGTACCGTAATTAGTCCTACCGCCTATCCGGAGCAACAAACTACGACTAACGCGAATCGTAACGTCGGCAACCTGCTACCGAACAGTCAGCACCCGGCAAACCAACCCCCGACGAGCAACCATAATGTTCCCCGTAACGAAACGCAGTTCAATCAGTCGCAGCAGTGCGGCAAGTCGAGCAAGAAGCACCAGCTGAAACACGCGACCAGAGAGCAAGACCAAGCCAGAGCTATGGTGCAGGTTGTGCGTTGGCTGGAACGGGAATTCTCGCAGAACGCGGCTGCGAACTCCGGTCGGAAACACGTTCACGAGCACATTCATCATCATTATCATCATTACCACACCGAGGCTCTTGTTTGATACGTCTACCTGCGAAGAGATTTCAGGACTTCCGTTTGTCTCCTCAACTGGTAGAACAGAGCTAAAAGTGTGTTAGGCCAACACTTAGAAGGCGAACGTTTTCTGTTAGCTGCACAATTGGCAACAATTGGAAGCACTTATTTGTCTATTTTCCTTGAGCCTTGCAACGTATTTGGGGCCAGTTATATAGATAACTTCTGACAATAATAATAAGAATGATTGAATAGAGTAATATTTATTACATTTTATTTTGGAAATCATTGGCGAATGAAAAATATGTTTCTTTGTGCAGCTTGCAAAGTGCTACCAGATGGGGGTCAATATTAAAATTCCGGTCACCCACGCATCCGTTCGAGAATTTCTCGAGTAATATTTCATCGATCATTTTGTTGAACTATTCCTACCTTTTGCCACACTTTGTTAAGTAGAGGTTTACGATCTTTTTATTTGTTGAAATGCGGTCAGTTCCTGCCGAAATAGCGTTTTAATTCTGAATGCGACCACCGGTGGATTAAACATGTTGTGAAATGTCTTCTTATTGAATACTGTGGCTTCTTTGGCTGAGGAATACGGGTACGAAATCCATGTTCCACTAAAACTCAGCCTTCGGTAGCCGCCAAGGATTATTCGACGCTATAGGGCTAATCGGAGCGACATTCGACAAAGTCGGAGTGTGAGCATCGCCCATCGGATCCGCTTCAGCCTATTCTTCCACTCACCTAGGTCTCCCCTGACGGTACGCATTTTCTTCGATACTTCCATGGTGTACTATTTCTCATCTTCAACATGCTCAAGGATTGACCCTACTGTCGACAACCTTTCTTGGGATCCAATCCCTGGTTCCTCGCCATTTCCTCGATGGACAGAATCCTCGACAGTTAGCGCCACTCACTCTTCATAAACTTACAACCAAGCTCTGGTGCCTCCTTTGATTTCTTTGAAGTTATTATACCGTAGACGGTCTTATAACCGTAGCCGAGTTGCCAATAGCAGAACTCCTTCAAATATGGTGTTACCATTAGGCCACCCATTTTGTATAGCCCTGTCACTGTCTTCAGAATTTTTTGTATTCCGTGTCTACATGCGTGGTGCACTACATGCAGTGCACTACACTGCAGTTCCAATATGATGTTATCCTCTCCAAACAACAATCGGTCTTGTTTAGTTTCTCAAGACAGTCTGAAGACGACAGTGCCATCAGAAACCTGGACGGCAGCCATGGTAAATGCAGTGCCCCGGGGTATAACTAGTGTTTTTAACACCTCGTTCCTGTAGTCCTTGACCTTGCAGAGTATCTCTCAGCCCCAATGATCCGGCGGAGGACTGCTGCTACCGTTATCCTGCTATCCGAGAGTTCTAGACAGACGGCTGCCGTGGCTTCCGTCCACCACTCACGCCAGTCCGATCACCTCTTGATTATGAGAATGATTCTCATAGGCCTATCTCAAGTTTGTGTCCCTTATCTGGTTCATACTGACGTTCAGTTCATTACTTATTTTATGTGGGTCAGGCAGGAAGTTCTAACGCGATGTTTCAAGAGATTTTGCGAGCGCACAATTTGAGGATCACTGTCACACTTCGTTCTTCCAATAGATACGACATTTTCGAACTCGGTTTGCGAACAATTGGCCAACGGCAGATCCAAATAAACGCCGTTGGTCTGTAATAATTCTATGAACGATCGAGTAACATTTTTGGATCGTCAATGACGACATCTAAGCGAAGTAATATATCGAGAAGTTTTATTCTTGAGACATATAATCGTGTTCATCTTATTCTCTAGGACTTGTTAAGTATTTAATATATATATATATATATACGATAGGCTGATCCATTTTATTTTCTTTTTTCTGGGGGGACTTCCAAAGTGGATGAAAGTATATAACAAGACGTTTTCATCTTTTCGTCAATAGTATTAGAAAAAAGATCTAAGACGATACCAATGATCTATTATACCGAAAGGCTTTTACGAACGCGGTTGTTATTTAAAAATTTACAGTTTACCACTGTAACTCGATATTTGTATTCCTACAGATATAATAAACAGGGACTTATTTTGTACATACAAGGAATAATTAATTCGTCGATTCTGCTGATCAGTTTACACGGAAATCATGAATCTCCATAATTATAATCGCGGGAAATTGTTTATTTATATTTATAGTACAACGTGCAGAGATTTATTATTGTCACGCGAAATTTTTGTTAACGGGAAACGATATACACGCAGATCTTTGCCACAGGCTCTTAATCGATCTATTTATAAGAGATACTGACATTTTTTACAAGACAGTATTAGCGCGAAACAGTAATGTAATCGCTATACCGCTGCCTGGCATATTGATATCTAAATCGAATTTGAGTACTTCGTATACGCATGTGAAATATGTACCTTCACAAAAACTAGGGGACATTGTAGATTCGTGACATTTAACGATGTGGGAGCTAAGAGAAACGTATACTTACGTAAGTGATAAAGTGCTTTTTCTAACTCGAGCTTCCATGCTGAAAGTTTCAATAAATTTAGGCAGAGGTGTGTGCCTATTTATCCGTTTTATTGTGGACGCAAAGCGTTCGAAAATACCTCGATAGAATTCCCTCGATCATTTTCTTTGATACATTTCTGCCTCTCAATTGACACGTCTTGCGAGTCCAAAATATCGAAAAACAAATCGACAATACGATCAACAAAAATTACGAACGCCACAACATTTATTCAATTTCTATATAAGAATTCTAAAGGTTATGAAATTATGAAACAGTTATTTAAAAAATATGGACTTATCTCGCATGTTGCTCAAGATGCTTAATTAGGATCAAACGAGCAAGTGTTCATTTCATAAACCCCCGTAACACAATACATGTATAAATATTCAGCGAAGAATTTGAAACCGTATGGTTACTATAGAAGTCTTGATACAAATTGTCTTCTTCAATATTTTTCGATTACTTTTAACAAGTTCGATGTACAGTTCATTTTTTTTTTTTTAATTTCATTTGTATATTAGATCCACGAAGATAATTCTTCCATTTTTAATTATGTCCAAAAGCACAATAAGGATATGGCTACATCAATATTATCGATATCGTTGTTACAATTATAGTAGTGCATTGGAAACATACCAAGACTTTTATGGTTACCTTATTTGAATATTCAAAACATTGCAATTTTTGTGAGCAACCACTATCCTCATAAAAAATGCAAAACAAGTCGATGGTGCTCTCATATTCCAACGAATACAATAGCTTACTCTGTAATGGCGTTAATGACTCTTTTCGTTGTATTTATATGATATTTCTCGACAATACAAGAAAGTATTAAGATAACGTACTTCTAAGGGCACAATTATGAAATTCGTAATTCAACCTAAACTTTGTGAACGACGAAGCGGAAGTAAAATGAGTGATTATACAGTAAAATATTATTACTGTTCTTATTGCACGAATTTAATTGTAACCATAAAGTTTAAAGGAAATTCGATTTCTCTTTACGGTACCATATTGCTCATAATTATTTGAACATTGAATCATATTCCAATTTTTAACTCTTGCTATTCATCATTATTATTATAAAATTAATTTCAATTAAAGAAAAAAATAGGATATACTCGTTATAATAACTCTAAGTAATTTATTATGGATATAAATCCGTTGTATTTCATAAAATCTGTAATGGTAAAACGATAATGCAGAATCATTATTCATCTTAAGTAGTTTCTCGAATAATTATGAGTGGTATTGTATGTGCAATCCTAGTGTACAAATAATGATCATAAAATGTCAGAAGAAAATATTATCTATACATACCCTTTCATATGTAACTTTCAGCACAAGTAGAATTTTGTAACAAGTAAAAAAAAAAGGAAAAGGATGGACTTGTTAAGAGTGCCTTGT